CCGTAAAGATTAACTCGTTGTCAAAGGTGATACCACCCTCCGTTTCATACTACATCTGCGTGGATGATATTTACATTTCAGTTTCTTCTTGTAATTTCTCTAGCTGTGAGCGGCAACTGCAGCTTACCATCAACAGAATTAGTAAGGGGGCTGACGAGAATGGGTTTAAGTTTTCTCCCGAGAAAACTATCTGTGTCATTTTTTTCTGCGTCGGGGGCTGTTTCTAGATCCAGAAGTGACGTTAAGCAGGTTTCCTGTTAGTGTCAAAACAGAGCGTAAATTTTTGGGCGTAACATTTGATAAATATTTAGACTTTCTTTCCCACCTGAAGGGCCTGAAAGAGAAATGTCTTAAATCAGCCAGTATTCTTAACGTCTTACGATACAAGTCATGGGGATCCGATAGAATATGTCCGGGTATCAGTTGGTAGAGCGCTCCCCTTGTAATGGAGAGGTCCTGGGTTTGATACCTGGACCAGGCGGATTTTTTCGGTCGCGCACCAGTCACTTATGTTTGGAGTTTTGTGTTTGTCCTTTGTCCCTCTTGTTCCCCTTCTCCAGTGATTATTTTCGTCATCCTTGTCCAGCTCGCCTGCACCTTTGCATTTCATTGCATTATAATCATAACCTTAAATTGCAAGCTTCACCCTTGTTGGTGTTAGACTGGTGGCAGCTGATAAAACCCGTTTGCTCTACTGACGTCTAACCCCTGGTTAGCTCAGTTGGTAGAGCGCTCCACCTGTAATGGAGAGGTCCCGGGTTGGATACCCGGACCAGGCGGATTTTTTCGGTCGCGCACCAGTCACCTAGTTGTGTTTGTGTTTGTCCTTTGTCCCTCTTGTTCCCTTTCTCCAGGGATTATTTTCGTCGTGACTACTCCCCATTTTATACCGATGTGCCAAATCATTGCATTTTGTAGGATCAGCAGTTTATTCTGAAGGATTCAGTAAGGTTTAGCGTCTCAAGGAATGTGCAAGTATTTACATGGCAGAGCTCTATGCGGTGTTGATGGCCTTTGGAGTTTATTATGACCAGCAAAACAATAAAATCTATTTTATTCCGGGATTCTCAAAGTGTGCTCACCACACTTTGCTCAGTGATGGGTAGTAAAAATAGACTCGCACAACTTGTCCGATCTAAGGTACAATGTGGGCTGTGGCTTCGCCGAGACATACAATTTTGCTGGGTGCCTAGCCATATGGGGATCCGAGGTAACGAAAGAGCAGACGAATTGGTCACTAGCTCTAAGCACCTATTGCCAACTGCCTCACAGATACCGTTTCAAGACATAAAGTTCATAGTAAATTCATCAGCTGTATTTTTTTTTTACTATGGCGATTGGAGGGGAGTCTGGAATGTGAAGACAAACTTCATGTGATGAAGCCAGGTCTTGGGATATGGGAAAGTGCATCCCTCAGAACCCGCCGCCATGAAGTTCTTCTGTGTCGTCTTAGAATTCGACACCCCTACCCTACCCACAAGCATCTGCTCAGGGGGGAAGCCCAACCACTGTGTGACGGCTGTCTCGAGCGTTTAACTATGCTACACATATTGTGGATGTGCTCAGGGCTTGATCAAGAACGGCGTACATATTTCCCCGAGTTATATTTTTTTTTTCACGACAGATTTTTTTTTTTTTGCGCCGCTAATTGGTGAGACTTCTATAGTAGTGTTTTGTCGTGTCATAAATTATTTAAGAAAAACCGGCCCTTTTAATGTATTTAAGAAAAAGCCGGTTTTCTACTGGAGTTGTAATTTTATTTACTTCCCCTATATACTTTTAACCTTGTCGCATTAACCTTTTCTAGATAATTTGTATCAGTAAGTTCCGAGTATATGCCTTCCAAATAAACAAGCTTGGCGCAGTATGGCCATAGTAGCTTTGCTTTCTAAAGGCCTTAATCAACAACAACTACTTTAGCAAAGAGAACATTCGAGAAGAGGCGACCTCCTCCCTAGCGTTCGCTCTGCTGAAGTGGAATGAGGTGGGTGGAGCTTCCCTTCAACTCTTGACCTGTCGCCGACTACAGGTAATCGCATATGAGCCGCGCTTCGGTATAACAATCTCGATAAAGGACGATCGCCCAACAACATGGAACGAGCGGAACGGCCTGAAGGGAAAAAAGGCTTAGTGTCAGAGATGACAGTAATCCTTTCATTTTCTTCTAGAGCTGACAACGCGTCCCTTTTTTTTTTTTTTTTTTAGTCAGTTTTGAATTTGTTTTTGGCGAAATGTTCGCGAGGTTGGTCAAGATCGCGCTTCTACCATTGACGCCACTTGGCTTAAGTCTTCTCACCACTCCTGTTTCCTAAAGTGATTTGCTTAGACACCGGAGCGCGGGACGCGCTTGGTTGTGTGAACTCCATTTTGTGAATGTTTGGAATCCCGTAAGCGTGTAGGTCATGTCTGTCATACAAAGACGATTCAGGAACGTCGAAAATTATGTTGAGTATGAATATCCGGTAACATGCCGCTTAATGCCTTAACAGTTTAGATAGATATATATAAAGATGATAGGTGGAGGTCTTCTTAGTAGATTTTATTTGCTATTATTTTTGTTCAGTGTGCATGGACTGCACGTTCTCGTGCACGAGCATTAAAATGATGTTGTGAGGCGAAATATGTAAATGAGTAAACGTGAGTAGACTAGCCATTACCATTAGTAATATCATTACCACTATTTAGTTCGCCGTTAAGGGGCGTCCAATAGGACACTTCCCGAAATACATTCTTCGTCGAGATAATGTTGACAGTGTTAGTCGGGTCGCGGAAAGCGGTTAATATTAACCGTTGCTATCGACCTTTTCACCTTCCGTCTCACGGGCGCGGCCATTTTGGATTCACGTGACGCGGCCGCCATAAGGTGGCTTCAACTCGTCGCTCTGCTCTCCTCTCCGCGCCTTGGCGAAGCCGTTCTATTCGTGCTTCTCATCGCGTTCCATCGCGTTCTTAGCATTACTCTGTAAAGCGGCGTCTGATGCTTATATTTGCTACCTAACTGCATTCCACTATTGTGTTCTGCAGTTGATTTTACGACAAGTTCTGACTATTTTCAGCGTCGGCTGGCCGGATACATGTGAGGAGGTTCGAGGGACTACATGAATCAGTACTTGCGCAGATTGAGTATGTAGGTGACTCTAGGACAGCACAACGGTTCAAATGCCAATTACCTATGACAGCTTAGGTTTGCTCAGGAATGATCATCGTATGAAGCCAGTATGTATATTCTCTGAAAGCATCGTGCTTTGCATTCATAAGAAGTCGAGAACGGTGCTGTTTTTTTTTTATTAGATATAGAATATATGAGATGGGCGACGAATGTTTAACTTTTATTTTACCTGACGCTCGCAATAATGGTAACCTCAACATCAGCTGATTTGTTTGTTTATAATATTATACACCTAAGCAACAATCACGGGCTGGTGGGCCATGAATTCGTAAATATTGAAACGCTGTATGCACGCAGGCAGTGCTAGGAAATATAAGTAAAAATAAGCAATACGTATAAGTTCGTCTGCTGTCCGTCGATGTCACACATTTTGGACCGGCTTGGCTCACTTAGTTGTTGGGTGGGCGGCTGGGCCACTGGGTGGCCAACTCGCATCGCCGAATTCTTGGGGCGAGATCGTTCGATAAAGCTAGCTTGATAGACTTCTATCTCTTCTCAATGGGCGGCATTATATGGGCATCGTTTGCACTCAATGAGTCTCGATCAAAGCAATATTCGCTTACAACTGCGTCTACGCAATGAACCAATATAAAGAGCGACACAACAGGTTTACGCACTCGCGTCGCCGAAGCGGGCTGCCAACGAACACAGCACGTCTACGCACTACCGTCTTCGGATGAAATCTGCGAGGTACTCCCGATAATGTCTGGTGGGTTTCACAGACCCTTTAGAACGGCCCTGACAGGTCACGCGGACCTTTTAGAACGACCCTGAAGGAACGCACACCTCTCAGAAAGATATCTTGATGGGCCCCACAGACCTACTAGAGGAGCCTGGTGGGCCCATCAGACATTTCAGGATATCCTAAAAGGCTTCTCAGGCCCTCGCAGGAAATCTTAGTGGGCCTCGCAGACATTTTTTCAATAGGGAAGTAATTCATTTTTATTTAAAACCACTACAGAGTTCTCAAAGTGACTCAGTAGCACTATTTCATTAGTTGTGTGCTCCAGCTAGCATATTTGTATGACAAACTGAAACGAAAAGTACATTAAAGGGGGTTCACACACTTACGTCGATTCGGACAGAGTGCGAGGGTTGCTATGGCAACAGCTGTGTCGGCTCCGACAAAACGGGATATAAACCGGTTTCGTTGGAGCCGACGCGGCTGTGAGCAAACGCATTTTCTATCCATACGTCAGGTAACGACTCAGATCCAACGGCTGCGTCGGATAGCGGCTCCCTCCCCTCCCCCGCCTCCCTCCCGGTCACATAAGCACTTCCCCAAAAAGAGAAATGGAACGCGTTTTAAATCGAAAGACAGGTCACGGTTTGGTTGTCTTGTGCTGCTGCTACCTTACGTAACGTTGGACTGCTTTTGACTCGGATTGATTGAAAATTAGTTCAAGTTTCGTTTAATGCTTTGGACAAAAGTTTGCCCCCCCCCCCCCCCCCCCTCCCCACGCGGCTCTTGGATGTTTCGTGGTTTTGTTTGCGGCTGTTAGGCCGGGTCAGCCTGGCCACCCCTGATCTATAGTCACTCACACGATGAGAACGGCAGGAAGGTCTTTTTCCTCCTTCGGTGCGAACTTGCTACCTTCGGTAACACTTTAGCGTGTCGTGTGTCTCATCTCGCAAATGAGTCTTGAGCTCGCAATGAGTGCGTGCTGGATGCCGAGCATCCTGATGAGACGCTCTGCAATTTTCGTCCTGGCAGTGACTGCACAGAGTTCGAAATATGACAGTTTTCTTTCCAGCAAAACTGGAAATATTCTTGACGTCTTGGTTGCAAGGCCCTGAAAGTGTTTGCCGTGTTTTCCGCTGCTTCCAGACTGAACTTCGAGCAAGCGAGGGAAGAACGAGACCGTCTACGTGTGAACGTGTCGGAGGCCAACACCAGGGCGGCGCTGCTGGCGCAGGAGGTCGATGAGCATCACGCCAAGCTGGAGAAAGCCTGCGAGAGAAAACTGGCGTAAGATGCCCGCTCACGAAATTCTCTCTAGCGTTGTCCTCGGCGAATGCCGGGACGCTGAATCGGTCTGCCACTTAGTGCGAGCCCTTTCCATTACATAATCACAGTTATGGAATTAAGGCGTTTCTATTCCCTCCCAGTAATGACTTTATCATCGCTAGCTCGATATTTTGCGCGTTTTGTAAAGTGCGGCATTTGGGATTATTTCGCGCCGCAAAATGTTCGCGATTAAAATGATGTGCTATAAAATCGCTACCATGGGGTGGTATATTCGGGTAATTACATTTTCTTGATATTTTACAGGTCGCGAAATTCGCCAAAGTTAAGTCCTCTTAAAGATTAAGTCGTTTACATATATTAAATTTTTTTGGTATTTGAACTTAAAAGTTTCCATTCTCAACACGTCTGTCCTTGCCTCGAGAAATAACGCGCTTTCGCTCCAATTTATTTATTGATTCATTTATTTGAAATACTGCAGGCGCTTTTCGCATCATCATGACTTTCTTACTCGTGTACACGTTTCTTAACAAAGTGAGCATACCCCTTTCTAGTCCTGGTTTTCCTGAAATGCGCCATAGCTTATCCCGGTTACGTTATTGTCAGCTTCCTTGGTGTCGAAAACATTGAGCAGATATTTCACTTCTGAGGGACCTCGGGAGGCACACGACGGCGTATACGTGGTGCCGCCGGCGCATGCGTGGTGAAACCCTGGTAGTCGCCATGCCCGCCGCGTCTCCTGCAAGAACCACGGTTGCTTCCCCCGCTGTACTTGGAGTCAAAACTTCGAGACCGTCACGATTCTTTGCTCCGAAAGCGGAGCATGCAGTTCCTCAACCTATCTCTATTGCGAAAACGAAAAAAAAAAAATAATAATAAGTATAGCTGCGAAAGACGAGAGCTGTTCATAAAGTTTGCCCGCCGCTGTGCACTTTCGTTTGACGTGGATCCTGCATTTACGGGGAACACATATTACTGGCAGGCTCTAGGTACTTCGTATAGGCCAGCACGCTGTCTACAAACATATCTGCGTTTGCTCACACCGGATGCGGGTACTCCGCATGCGCAGAAACCACATCCCCAGGAGGGAAAGTCTCTGAGCACGCGCCTTGCTGACAGCAGCGCCAACGTATCGGCGTGACGCCAGGGCTGTGTATTGATGTATAGACGCTTGGCAGCAGCTGCTCATGGGCGCCGCCATAACGGACCTTTGGTTTTAGCCTCCTCTAATTCCGTTTCCTTTTATTCCGTATCGTTACCATTGCAGGCAAGGTTACTGCCACGTTTGATTCTGTGGTGTCCTTCTCCCCAGCTTTGGCCTTTGTGTAGGCTCGGCAACGCCCGTTTCAGTGCCTAGTATCTGGGTAAGACGAGAGGAGGTCAGCAACGGCGGCTCTAACTTGGCGCGTGTGTAAAGCTTCTATAGAGCAAAACTGTGCACGAAGTCAGCAAAGATAGTAGGGAGTTTTAGCAGATCGTCCGACACCTCCGATAGCGATATTCGATAACAATATCGATACAATGCATACGCAGAAAACGTGAGCGGCCTATACCGGATATTGTTATGGGAGCGATTCGAACGACCTATTAAAACACCGTACAATCTTCCCGACCGCCGTTTAGCATTTTATCCGGTGGAGAAAAAGCAGACCTTTGAGATTGTTCTGCAGACAATCGTTTTGATTAAAGAAAGCTTGAAACACCTCGTTCGCTGTGAGACATATTACTTCTACTCCCCTATTTGTTTAGAGCTTCCGTATTACCGTATTTCTAGTTAACGTTTCAGCGGCATTTAACCTTGTTTGTGCTCGGTCTTACCTGAGCGACCTGCTGACACTTCAGCATTCTGGGTCCTTCGTCTCCGCGTATCTGCGCCGTCAGCGCACTCCGTGCACGATATTGCGGGTTTCTTCCTACGGACCAGTGTCGTAACGCCGAAGCTGTGGATGGGCCGTCTCTGGTTTCGCTGGCGGTGTGCTCTAGAGCCACGGCTCTTCACCCCGAAAGCCACGAAGGAACTGCTCCAATGTCCCTCGGACACCCAACGCGAATCATCGATTGCGAGCATCATCATGGCTTGTGCCGGTTACTGTCGTCTTCTCTTGTCCCCAAACGAGCATCCATTAGCACTTCTTTTCCTGTGTTTGTTTGTCATGTAACTCCCTTCGAAAAGGGGGTCTTTCCCGCTTGTCTTGTTCTTTTCGCCACGCTTTCTTTTTCTTTTCTTTTTTCTCTCCGCAGTTCTTCTGCTCTATTATAGTCTAGCTAGCCTGTACAACCACGAAGTAAAAGCTATATATATTTCAGAGTAATAACCCTTTGGCCATTTTGGTGTTTAAAGTTACTGCTTCCAGTTACATGATACTTTGGCTGGAAACGCAGGAAACGCATGTGTGTCCTCCGAAAATGTTAAAACGGTCCGCGACAAAAAAGGAAAAACCTGTACTGCATGCGTGAGCTTGCTGACACCGCATCTATAAAGCTCAGGAAGTCGCATTTTCATATCTTAGCTTCTCGGTACTGGCGTCCGCTCTACACAAAGCACTAAGATGGCGGTGACCACCAGATAGTTTGGGATTTGGCGACTCTTGTCTACTGAATACCTAGATGACAAGGCCATATAGTGCTGGATTTCTACGTCACCTTCCGGAGGCTATCGCGGGACACAGATAGAACTCGTGTGCTGTGACACGTTCAGCTGGACCCAGCGCAGGTCCCTGGTTGGCGACGCAAAACATCCGATACTGTGGCCTCGTTATCTAGGTGGTGTTGGCTTAGCTCATCTTTGTCTAACGTGTTCGTCGGAAAAAGATGAGTACGGCGTTTGCCATAACTATCTATCTATCTATCTATCTATCTATCTATCTATCTATCTATCTATCTATCTTATCTTATATTATCTTATCTATCTATATATCTAATCTATCTTATCTATCTAATATATCTTATCTATCTAACATATCTAATGTATCTAATCTATTTAATCTATCCTCATTACTAATTATACCTGAGACTGGCAAAAAGGGGAAACAACAGTTACATGTAAACATCAAACAGCTTTTTTATATTATTTTGCTAACTAAAATAAGAGCACCGACTTCACACAACAGAAAAAAAAACAATTTCATTAGACTTTTCGCCTCCCATGCGGGAGGCATCTTCAGTAGTGACAAAGCAAACGCAAGGTTCAACCTCAAGTCAACGCTAAATGCAAGATTGAACCTTGCATTTGCTTTGTAACTACTGAAGATGCCTCCCGCATGCACAAGATTGAACCTTGCATTTTCTTTGTAACTACTGAAGATGCCTCCCAGAGAGGAGGCGAAACGTCTAATGAAATTGTTTTTTCTGTTGTGTCAAGTCGGTGCTCTTATTTTAATAATGACGTCTCCCGGCTTTTGGAATATTTGTTGCATATTTTTTTGGTGTGGATGTGAACCATGTTATGGGCGACATAAGGAATGGGACTGAATAAACGAAGCAGTTCGGTTTAATACGTCGTCTTTTCCCTTTTTTTCGTCCACAACTGTTTGATGTCTCCCTTTTCTTACCACGGTCTCGGGTATAATTAATCATGGTTAGCCCTCACCAGCTCACCTGCACGCTGCCTATTTGTTTGCTTACCTCTCTCTTTCACCATGCTCTGAAGCCTCCAGGGGCTCTAATCTGGAGACTTGGCGAAAAGATCGGCGAGGAGTTTGGCGGCCATGATTGGCCGGTGCCAGGGTCAAGCGCGACGGCGGCCAATCGCGACCGCCAAACTCCTCGCCGACTTTCCCGCCAAGTGTCTAGACCAAAGCCTCAGCAAAACGTCGCTTTGCCGGGCTGGGCCTGCGTGGCTTGACGGCTCCTTGCAGGAACCTGGAGAAGCGGCACCAGGAGCAGTTGCGGGAGCTGCAGGAACAGCTGGAGCGTGAGCGGGAGGCCGCCACCGCGCAGCTGGCCAGGCTCAACCAACGTAGCCACGAGGAGATGGCCACCTTGCGCAGCGAGGAGGCCAGGCTGCGGGCGCAGTGCATCGCCCTGCAACAGGTGGGAACCGCTCTGCCCTATAGAGTAACTGGATCGTTTTAGGATACCGCAACGAAATTTTAGCGCAGGCTAGCGCTAAATTTATTGCTTGTGTTAGCGCACGCTAACACGCGCGGTAAATCCTGGCATGCTTCAAAAAAGGCCAATCAGGGGATAATCAGGGAAATGGCGCCAATCGGGTTAAGACGCGAGAGAATAATTTTACCTGTCAATTTCCTAATAAACTAAAATGTATTAATAAACTTTTAAAGTAATGTGATTCGGGTGTGTGTTTATATTGGAAACTTAGATCCAATTTCTAAAATGCTCGTAATGAGCCCATGTTGATGAAATTAATGCATCCGAGCGCCGTTATTCCTGTCCAGCTTGCTGCCCCTTCCCAGTAATTGCATGAACATCATAACCTTAATATGCAGGCCGTTCACCCTTGTTGGTGTTAGACTGGTGGCAGCTGTTATAACCGGTTTACCCGAGTGGCCTCGAACTCCTGGTTAGCTTAGTTGGTAGAGCGCTCCCCTGGAAATGAGATATCCCTGGTTCGATTATGCTTAGGCGGATTTTTTAGTCGCGCACCAATAATCTGGCTGCGTTTGGAGATTTGTGTTTGTCCCTTGTACCCCTTGTTTCCCTTCTCCGGGGATTATTATCGTTATTAGCCTATGTTTCGAGATATACGTCCGCAAAGTTTGCCACTCAATCCGTCTAGTTACACCTTCCCGGCGTGACGCAAATCGTTGCATATGACATTCCGTATGGCAACGGGACGGAGCTGATGATAGTTCTTCTCTCTTTCTCTCTCCGTCTGTTGCCATACATGCCCAACGAGCTACGTCACACAGCGGGGGGCTTTTGCGCCGATCTCCGCGACTTTGTACGCGTAATTAACCAGATGGAATGGCAAATCAGATGACGCATATCTCGGAACACTGGCTGGTTACGAGAATTTGACGGAATGTAACAGTTTTAGAATACGGCCGCATTGAAGTTATAGGCAGATGCAGACTTACTTCCAGTCATTAAAATGTTTAATAATGGAATTTAGTTAACCAGAAAATTGTCTTCTATGATTATTCTTGCGCTTAGCATCCGCCTGGGAGCCTAACCTAGGTGCAAAGACTGATTTCACGTGCCTCAATCGTCCTTGTTGTTTTTTGTTTTATTTATTTCTAAGATTTAATTTTGAACACCCAGTATATTGCGCTTACATTTCTTTTTTATTGCTACTGTTTGAAACGGTGGCTAACATCAGCTTTCTTGTTATAGTTTTTTGTTCTTAGTAATGCTGTTTTGTATTTTATGCTCGTATGGGCCCAACTAAAAAAGTCAGTAATAAAATTAACTTTTCGGGTTCGGCGACTTCAGCACAGGTCGCTTAACCTAAAGGTTGTTGGTCGCATCTTCAGCCCACGGCGCGTACGCAGGAACCACGCGGAGCACAAGTTTGTCTGCTTCTTTTGCAGGGGTTGTGGTGACGTCAGAACGACGCCGAGCGCTGATTGGCTCTGATTGAAAGATAGTGGGGAGACCTTCAAGGTAGCTTGCCTTGAGGTCTACCCACTATCCTTCAATCTGAGCCAATCAGAGCTCGGCGTTCTGACGTCACCGCCACCCCTGAGGAAGAAGCAGACGAATTTGAGCACCGCATAGCTTTCCTTTATTCCTAATTAGCGACGTGTGCCACCAAAATAGTCGCTGTGGTCCAAGTTCGGGATTGATCAAACCATTGCTTCCTGTATTATAATAATGCTTGTCCAATCGCCGGTTCACGGCGATGCGAATCTTGCCAATCAGGGCGAGGCAGAGACAACTCCTGCCAATGACGTCGAGGCAAATCTTGTTAGTGACGTCGCGAAAGGAAACTATAGGAGGTCGCCACCGAAACATCTCTGCGCTAAAGGCGCTATTCTGATACGATGTGTCCTCGGGAACAGGACGAACAATCAGCGGCGTCTGTAATAATATCCTGGGGGTGATAGACTTAACTACGGGCGATCGCTCACTGGTAGTTGTCCGGGTTTCGAGTCAAGAGGTCCAACGAGTGAAGAAATTCAAAGAGTCAAAAGGCTTAACGTTGGAACTCTCGACTCGTTGGATCTCTTGACCAGAATCGCGTTGTCCTGGGAGACTCGCTGAAAACTGGCGCTTTGAGTGGCACGGGTTTCGCGAATCTCGCTGTTGTCGCCGACAGCTCCTGAAGGTACGCCGACGACGTTTCAGGACAACGGTCGCCTCGAGTTGGAGTTGCAGGAATTCTCCGAGCGGTACAGCGAGCTGCACAGGTTCGGCGAGAGCCAGCAGAAGGAGCTGGAAGGCGTCGCCCACCTCAAGCAGAGGGTGAGCCGAGAGTGTCTTCTTAAGCTTCCGGTAGCAGACAACACTATTATCGGATGCAGCCCACTTTACTAGTACTATACTCGGTTGGGAAACTGCCGTAGAGCCTGCCTTCAAAAGGTGGCTCAGATCCGTACTCTAGAACCGAACTAAAGCGATCGCAACGCCACCATTTTTAACGCAGCGGCTACTCCGGGAACTGCACGGCTCCACGGATACATGGCTTGCACGTGACATCATTCAAAGATCGCTCCTATGACCACCAGAGAAGAGAGGAAGAAGGAGCTCCCCTCTTAACAGGATCCTCTTTTCTGCCTTCCGGATTTGCACAGACGTCGCTACCCTGCTCCCAGAAGATTATAGAAGATAAAGCCGTTACTCAAATTTCTTACAAAAGCAGATTCCTTCTCCTTCTCTTACATGGTGGTCAAAAGTATGCGATGTGACGTCAGTGCAAGCCATGCATTGGTTCAGGTATTGCATTCGATGGCTTCCACTGCGACCGTTCTAGTTTGGCTTTCATCGGCCATTTTGGCGCCGAAACATACACGGTGGAAGATGCCAACCCCCCGTCTCCCAAGCGGACGCGCCTCGCATCACCATAACGAAGTTGGGAAACGCCCAGGTCGGGTCGCGCTACCTGAAATCACCGGTGAGGCATGGCTGTATAAAAACAATATTCTGCCGCAAAACCTTGCAAACTAGTATTTTATGAAAACATCACGCTCCGTCATTCTGTACTAACTCCAATAAACGTTCCTAAGAAAAGAGCCTTTTCGTTTCTTTTTACGCAAAAACAGGCTTTCAAAACTATCATAATAACCACAGTAAAAAAAAAAAATTAGTTGCCATTTTGGCGCCACTGAGCCTGGGCGTTTCCGTACTCTGACTATACTTTAGGTCGAGTCGCGCAAGGGCCGCTGGCGCCATCTCGCGGTGCTATTTCGCAGTAGCTATATAAATGAACTTGTTTGGATTCGTCGCTAAAGGGCGGCGCTGTTATCGTATCTAGTTTTGTCTCGGTGGACGCGAGCGGTCCGGGTTTAAAGGATGAGTTTCCCAACTGAGTGTTTTAGTAACGTTGAACGGAGCCAACCAAGCGGCGCAGAAGTGCACCGTCGCGGCGCTCGTCGTTTTTGCACGTTTGCGATCACTGGCTGAACCAATCGAGCACAGTAAATGTGAGCGATCCTGCTCTTAAACGCTACCCCCCCCCCCCCCTTATTCCAATATTTTGGCCGTCGGTCCGTTTTCCACGAAATTTAGTGGGGAAAGTGGCGTCCCGTGACCTGTACGCCTTGAAAAAATTGACGGCAAGCTATACGTCAACTCAGTTTCCCCACTAAACTTAGCGGGAAATCGACGTCACGTGGCGTATAAGCCAATTCGATTATTCGCTAAATTTAGCCCGAAAATGCACGTTCTGTGACCTACAGACCAATCCAGTTCCTAAAATCTTATAATGCAACGCCCGCAGCCACGTTTTACGTCACGCGTGGCGTTCCGCAAAACTTGGCGGAAACATTTCCCGCCAAATTTAGCGGAAAACTTTCCTCTAAATTTAGCGAGTGGATAGCGTCATGACGTCACAGCCACGTGCGACTTCAGGGGTCACGTGACGCTACCGACTAGACCGCGCACACACGCTTGCACGGCTTGGGAACAAGTGCGGGTTTATACGAGAAGGCTTCGCGAACGGGGCCCGGTAACGCTATCGCGTTCCACCCTTAAAGGCGAAGCTTAAGCGCCCCAAGTTTCTTTCTTTTTTTTTTTTCTTTTTTTTTTTTTTTTTACAGCGGAGCTGTTAAGGGCTAGTTTCCCCAGGATTGTGTCCCCCGCAAAGAAATGAAGACACCGAACTCTGGACACCTACGACCATCTATGAGCGACGGCGGCAAGCCACTTATCTGTTTGCCGCCGTCGCCCATAGATGGCGGCAGCCTTTCCTCTCTGGCTTGCCGACTCGCGGCCGGCCATTACTTTCCATTGTACAGCTCCGCTGGTCTTCCTCCTTCCCCGGAGTGGAAAGATTGAAAGTCTTTCTTTGTTTTTCTTGTACGTGACTGCTCAGCCGTTGGTAGCAAACGCACAAAGCCGACGAGCGTCATGACGATATACTTTTGGCCGTGCTCGCTTGACTCCGCGGGTCGTTGCGTTGCTTGAGGTCGGATATTAACCTGTAAAACGCAGTTTAGATACCAGCGCGGAGCGCAAATTAGACACGAGTAAAGAGTCTGCATCCGGACGATATTCGCGTTTAGTCGGTGCTAGCACGAGTCCCAGTCGAACGCCGACGCTCGGGTCTAATCTGCGCTCCGATAGTTAACGTAACTGTTCGTCTCGTCCGCGCTCGCTTTTGTTTAAACCGCGGCCGTTAAGCCGGCGTCACGGCGCTAACACATCGTATAGAAGCCAGTCTGCAGAGACTGTATGAGGCGTTTTGCTCCCTTGTATGTCGGTCCTGTTGTAGTAGCCTGGAGCGCGGATCGCGAGCCCGTCGGTGGCACCACCACCGGCGGCCATTGCACGACACAATGTCACATTGGTCGTAAAAATCGGCCTTTAAACGTACGTCCGAAGCTGTATGAGAGAAGACGGGCTTCGAACTTGCGTGAGGTGCGTTCGCAGATACGTCTGTAATCCTGTCGTTTGTATGGTGTGAGATTAGTGCGACTGGGGCTTTGGGCTCCCTCGAACGGTCACCGATGCACGCTCGAGCTCGTGGTGCTCCGCCCGCAGGTGGCCGACTTGGAGTCCGGACAGGCGTTCCTGAACGACGAGCACTGCCAGAAGATATTTCACGAACTGGAGTCGACGCAGAAACAGAACAAGGTGCGTGCCAAATATCGCCGGACGTTCGTTCTTGACCTGTCACCGACTATAGGCCTCGCCTAACGCTCATTCTCCACCCAAAGGTAGCACTAGAGGTCACAACCTCTAGTGCTAGTTTCAGCCCGATCCGATACCTTATTCAAAAGTTCAAATTAAAAGTGATTTTCTGAGAAGTGCAATGGGAAAATTGAGCCAATTTTTGCCCGTTTTGGGTTTCTGGTACCATAGAGCCCCAGGCATTTGAAAACTTTGTCGGCCGCCATTTTCCCGTTAAACTTTTCAGAAAATCGTTTATAACTTTTGACTAAGTTATCGGATCGGCGTGAAACTTTTGCGTCTGGTTCTGACCTCTAGCGCTGCCTTTGGACGGAGGATGAGCGTTCGGCAATGCCTAGTTTATTTTTGCGGTAAAAAAAACAACCCTGTAGATATTTTTTTTTCTTTGTGATACCTTGTACAAGCTCATCAGAGGCCGCGAGACCTTTTTCGCCGTTTATAATTAGTGAGACATTCTGACCAAAATACTGCCCGATCGTGTACTGGTGACCTTGTCAAAAACGTATCACGGTTGATTACTGGCAAGCTGTGGCGCCACGTCCAATGAGCAGCCGAGAGCGCTCTCAGCTTGACCAAAATCGGACCCCAAGCACCGTACTTCTGCCATAGAGCAAAGTGAACTGCGTGGGAGAGCAACGGGACCGCTTCTTTCAGGAGCTGAAGGACTGCAACGACGAGCTGAGCCTGGAGCTGGAGACCCTTCGTCAGCAGCTGGCCGCCTCGTCCCGCTCGGCGCACAGCAAGAGGCATCGGAGGTCGGGCTCCTGGGTGGCCGACTACTCGAGGCCGGGCGCCGCCGGGGGAGGGCTGAAGCGCAGGGGCAGCGAGGCCTCGTCCTCCGGTGAGCCCCGGGCAGGATTCCGGGTCAAGAGATACAACGATTCGAGTGACCTGATGGAACTCTTGACTCTTTGTATCTCTCGAGTCGTTAGATCTCTGGACCTGTGTTAGACCTCTTGACTCGTCCAATTTCTTGACCCATATGTGATCCTTTGACTCGGTCTCTTGACTCGTAGGGCATGTTGAGCCATATTGGATATTTTGACTGGTTGTGCCTCATGTTGGATCTTTTGACACGTTGGATCTCCTGACTCCTTGGGCTCATTGGATTTCTTGACCCATAATGGACCGCTTGCCTCGCTGGACCTAGAGAGACCTTAGTTGTGCCTTTTGGGCTATACTGGATCGCTTGACTTGTTCAACCTCTTGATTTGAGGGTCGAAACATATCCTGCGGTGAGACGATGTAGAGTAGTTACATAAATATACGAGGTGCGTCCAAAAAGTTCTGGGACTGATTTTTTTTGCGTAAAAAGAGAAAGCAGCACAGGGATGTTCGCGCAGCAGTCGAATTCAGAGACCTTTCCGCGTTATTATGCCGAAGGGCGTCGCCCCTGGGAACATTTAGAGCCGCGCTATACGAGTTTGTTTGACCACATGCACAAGCATAATGGCGATCTCTCCATAGACTGCAAACCAAAGCGAGAGTGAACATATATTTTACGTCAAACTCGGCAAATCTAAAGCAAAGACCTCCGAAATGATTGGGAAGGCTTGTGTCAAAAAGCAGTGGTGTGCGATGTATTTTGAATGGCACTCGCGCCTCAAGAATGGCAGAACGTCACTGAAGTCAAGGAGAGGTCTGATAAAGTCGCCCTACTTCTCTTCGCCTTCCAGCGATGTTCTGCCGTTCCTGAAGCGCGAGTGCCACCTAAAACACTTCGCCAAATTCACCGCTTTTTGACACAATCCCGCTGAAACATTTCAAAAGTCTTTGTTTTATATTTGTGGAGTTTGATGCAGAACTGATGTTCGCTCTCGCTCTGGTTTGCAGTCTATGGTGAAATTGCCATTGTGCCCGTCCACGTGGTCACAAAAACTCGAGCATAGTGCAGCTCCAGATGTTCAGAGTGACGCCCTTTAGTATAACGAGACACGGAGGTCCCTTGCTTCGACTGCTGCGCGCGCATCGCTGTGCTGCCCTCTCTTTTTACGTTAGAGAATCAGTCCCGGAACTTTTTTTTTTTTCATCACAACTAGTATTTTGTAAGAAATTTAAGTTTTCATACTTTTTTTTAGCGAAATTATGAGGACGGTCACACCTTCCCGAGATACGTAACCAAGGCAACGTAGATCAAGCGCCAGACCGTGTCAAATACTCCTCGAAGTTTTTACACAAAACTTTGACTGATCTACTATCTGGTCGCGCATGAATGTGTTCAGCTGAGGTATTGTGGCAGACGCTCGAAAGTTCTCCTGTTTACCTTCTTGTTCTCCCGCGTCAAAACCCGGACTGGTTTTTTAGCTCCTCTTCACGCCACTGTCAACATTGTAGCCGGACGAAACGCGCGATTGTTTGTCATGAGCGAAGTGTTACTGTATAGAGATATTCGTGGGGAAAGGCTTGCATCTGCTTCCGTGGCTTTCCAATCGTTGCAGTTGCAACCGTCGTCTGCGGTGGAGTTCTCTTGTGATCTAGCACAACCTGTCATATCTGCTTTTTTTTTTGTTTTGTTTTTAGCGCTGCCGAGGCAGCATATTTACGAGCAGATCAGTTGTTTCACACCGCCATTTGTTCCTCTTGTCAGTTTCAGTACGCACATAAACAGCAGCATAAAAGCCTCGTGAGTAGGCGATATGAAAACGACGCGAACTATATGGTGTTGAACAGATTGCAGCAGCACCATGTTCATGGTCACGCAGCAGTCAAAGGCTTGTTGGTTCTTTCTGCTGATGTAGTTTTCATTTAGAAAATTTCTGGATTAGGACAACAAGCCTAAAAACGATTTTAAAACTGGAAATTCCCGTGGCTCTGAACAGGACGTAAATCCAGCACGTGGCGTCTAAGGTGATGTTGGCTTGAAGTGATGTAAACGCTGGGTCCCTTTGGGGGACAGGGACCGTTGAGCTGAAACATGTAATTAGTCGGGTTCGTTTCTTTTTGACCATTTATTTTGAAACCCACATAATTGTAATATCTCCACTGCTATTTTTTTAGCCCAGGTGACCAGCTGATAGGGCGTCATAATTTTGATTCTGAAGGGAACTTTGAAGACTGGCCCTGGCTGCCAAACGCTTCGTGTTTCGCTCCTCCGTCACAAGCACTCTTCCCGTGGGATGAAGCAAAAACATCCCACTCAGCGGTAATGCCGTAATCGTTGCAACTGAACAAAGCCGGTGGCACATTAGGATGAGTAAACACGAGACAACTATCACCCTAGACGAGAAAATTAAATAAGATTGCTCAACTTGCACTTATCAGTATCTGCACGAATCGCAGAATGACTTGCCTGTACCGACTGGCCTCCTTCAAAGTCATTCGAAACGATACCCCTCGTTTTTCTGCTCTTTCTTACAGTTGGTCCTTTCAAAACCGTTTCACCTTACGATGTACCGCAGCGGACGCTACGCGGCACTGTAGCCAATCCAATCCCGTATTAGTGTCACGTGACCTTCGAGAGGGGCACGGCGACGCGCGCGTGATGTGATACGCGCACAACGCTGGATTGGTTGGGATTTCCCGTAGCTTGCCACTGCACTCCGTGGTATAAGGTGAAACGGAGTATTATAGTAGGGATCTCGCTGTATCGTCATCACGTTTCCTGACGAGAAGTCTCTGCCAGGAAATGCCGACGCGTATTAGGCATCTCGTTTTGGAGCGAGGGAGCTGACATCGGGTACAGAGGGCGCAACGAGCCTGCTATTCACATACACACGAGGCGATTGCGAGTCAAGAATACGCATTTGCAGAACCTTCTGCGGAAATCACGTTCCCGGCCATAAATCCCCTTGCTTGCGCGCGAAGCCTCTCCTCTCAGGTGGCGTGTTGTGCGGTGAACAAGCGCTACGAAGCATTGCCAGGTTGCGACGCGGGAGTTCAACTTCAGTTATTTTTTCTTCGATTTGGACAAAAAGCATTTTGATTAAGCTTTCAGAAATGAAAGACAATGGATTCTTTTTGTAAAGCCGTTATGTTTTGTATTTTTACTTGGACCACCTCAAGGTAGAATAGGCGACTGTTTTGGCAGCAAAATGGACTTTTTCTACAATTTAGATTTTTTTTTTTTTTTTTTTTTTTTTGCTTGGGAAGTATTTTGTTGTACGGCTTGAGGCATTTTTTTCTTTATATTTGTAATATATCTACAGGGCAACAAAAATGTTTGAATCGCCGGGCGCAAAGCGAAAATTACGTAAAAAATAAGAAAAGTGCTAATTTTTGTGCATCTTGAGGTTAAAAATATTTTAACGATAAAAATTGCATAATTATCAAACCATATTTTAACGATAAAAATTGCATTATTATCAAACCATATTTTAACGGTAAAAATAGCATAATTATCACACCATAGCAAGCTTCGGATTTTATAACATAAATTGTGAAGCGGTTCGAAGAAAATCTTATTTTTACTCAATTATTGATTGATGCCTAGTTTTACACCCCTTTCTAGAAGTTCAAATTACGCTCTCCCATAAAACAAAAATTTTTCGGCGAAAATGTTTTAGGAAAAGGTTAAGGACCTTGGGATAAAAAGCAACGAATTTTCTTTTAAAAATCGGAAATGATCGAGCGCAACCTCTGGGACGTATGAGATGGAATGAATGACCCAACTTCCAAATTAATTCCAGAATTCCAGTGAGAAAAAGAAAAAAAAAAAACTGAAGGAGGTGAAAAAAACAGCCCGGCTATTCTTGCTCAGTCGCCTTCTTTTTGTCGAGCCGCAAGAACCAAAGGCAACCATAACGTGAAAAATCGTTCTTCATATCCGATCAATTGTAGAATACTTTTTTTGTGACTGCGTCCTTGTTGGGCGTCCCAGGGGCGACACCCTCGCCGCCAAAATGAAGACGGAGAGGGGCGTTTATCTTGACTCCCCCTCTGCCTCCTCCTCCTCCTCTGCTCCGCGCACCCGAAAGCTGAGAGCGCGGTGGGAGCTACACGCTGGCCGGACCAATCAGTTACCTCCCTCTTATCATGTGACTCTCTGCTCGTCGGTACTGGCGAGAGTTTGTGACCACGTGGCAAAAGATGAACCCCACGACTGGTCCAGCGAAGCAAGCTGTAGCTTCCACCGCACTGTCAGCTTCGGGAGCGAACACAGTACAGAGTGTTCCACCTGAACGCCCTCTGGGAGAAATATGTCAGGGAAGATGACGACCATGAACAAAGCTCGTCGTCTCCATCGCCTTAATATTAGCGCATTTGTTTCCTAGTTCTGCGGCGGAATTTATTTTTCTTCTTCTTTTTAACTTTTTTGGTTTTTACGATTTTGGTTCCTGCGGAGTTCGTTCGCTCGCTCGCTCGTCCTTCCTTTTGTTAGTGATTCCGTCGATATGTAGTTACCGTAATATTATTTTTCATTTTTTTTTTTTTTTTTTTTTTCGTGTGCAGAGGAATCGGACGATGACAACCCAGTGGCCGAGAAGATCCGCCGGCGTACCGGATTCCCAGTGAGCGGTGCTCCCGAGGGTGAGATTTGTTACCGACCATTATTATCTCCCTCGCTATCTCTCTTTCTTTTTTTCTCTTTTGTTTCTGTATTTTTTCGTCTATTTCTCGAGTTATTACCGGGCGCGGGCCGCGCGGGCACCCATTTCCCGCGCTGAATCATCGTTACTCGGCCGCCGCCTTCGCCGCCAACGGAAATATGACACGCACGCGCACACACGTGGGAAAAAAAAAAAAAGAAAGAAACACGCTTTAGAGAGGAAAACGTAGACATCCGGGGTTTTCTCTTGTTCGTACCTCAGAGTCCACTTTGCGAAGTTCCGAAGAAGAAGGTAGATGTCTTCTTTTTTTTTCTTTTTTTCTTTTTTTCCCCTGTTTTGATTCCCTTGTTTGGCGCCGGCCGTTACGGTCTCCCTCGCTTTAATTCTTAACGTCTTCGTTTGCACGGGGACTATACTCCCTTCACCTCTAAGCTGACAGTGCGGTGGAAGCTACGTCCTCGTTGGACAAGTGGTTCGTCTACGTTTTGCCACGTGATCATGCTCCCGCCCATACCGACGCGCAGAGAATGGAGTCACGTGATCAAAGGGGGCCGTTTGATTGGTCCGGCGCGCACGTAGCTCTCACCGCGCTGTCGGCTTTCGGGGGATGAACATGCAGCTACTCGCGTATTAGAAATCTCGCACCCCTTTTTTTCTCTTCGTTCCCTCTTTGCTTTCGCACCTTTATGTTCGTCTTTCCCGTGTATATTTTATGCCTCACCGTGCTGTCTGTTTTGATCGCTCTCTTTCTCTCTCTTTAAATCATTTCTCTCACTCTCTCTGTCCGGGACGCCTTCCCCTAGCTTTTCCCCTCTCCTTGTTTCCCGAATGGCGACGCCATTTCCGCTCCAACCGGCTTGCTTCCCTTCTTGCATCTCCCTGGTCGGCAGGCAGTCACTTATTACTTTTGACGGGAAGAACGCTGCCAGGAACCGCGGTAACAGAACATTGTTAAATGCAAGCGTACGAAACAACCAGTCGCGTACGCAGGATTTCATTTCGCGGGGGGCCGGACCAACGAGAGTAAAGGGGGACAAGATAAAAAGAAAAGAAATTCCAAAAGAAAATAAATGGATGTTCATTTTTTTTCTAATAACTATGCCTTCTTCTATTAAGTAATTAAAATAAAGTTGTCATATTGGTTTTGGGATGATTATGATACATAAAAATGATGCCCCGGAAACCCCCCACCAGGAAGGCATTTGCATTTCACTTTTTTTTTATTTACAAGTCACGTCAAAAGAAGGCACCAGAGTAAGCAGAAAACAAGAATCATAAAAACAAATATTTTATGAAGCACGACTCCAATGCACAAAGCCTCCAGTCATCGGGGCTGATAAAACAATGATGCATAAGTAGAAACGCGAAACATCTTGATGGATAAACGATAAGCACTGGAAAGCTGCTCCACCATAAAGTACTCCCTATCTTAACCTGATCTAACCAACAAAAATCTCACGTGATTTGTTCGTTGGTGTCGATTTCTAAGGTTGCCGAAGTCCACTCACAAAAGAAAGTCGAGGAAGTCACACAACGCAACAAAGGGACGATGTAAAGTGGTTTACACACTCACATATTGCACTTGGCTCTCGTCCTGAGGCAGCAGGTCGCACACTCGCGCCCCTATCTCGCGCGGTACTCAAACTGCCGATGACAACTTCCGTACTCGAACCTTGAACCGCAAATCCCGCGCCTTTAGCGCCTATATTCACTTTTCTAAGACTTTTCCCGCCATCCGAGTAGCCAATCAGATATCGCCCTTTTTAGACCATTGGGAGCCACGCGGTACAAAACAAACACATACAATACAAAATCCAATAAAAAAAGGACACGTGCGCATAGGCCCCCGAAAACTCTTAAAAACCTTCGCCCTAACTGTCGACCGTCAGTCGGACACCGCTTCAAGGAAAAACCCCTCGTCGGGGTGCAAGAGCAGTACCGACGCTTCTTCTCAAAATAAAAAAAAAAGGCTACAAAACATTGAGGGGCCCCGCTGCGCTCGAGCGAGGCACAGCGCATGGTGCGCACCCAGAGCGGGGTCCTCGAGGAACAATTAAGACAGGGGACACGGGGCCCGCTCCGTGGCGACGACAAACCAGCCCTGGCGGCTCCGCGAGAGGGACATGGGGCACTCGCGAAGCAATAAAAGTAGAAGTAAAGAAAGATATTCGTTTATTGATTATTTTCCAGTCATATTAGATAAACGACGTTAAAACTACACATTGTTTTATTATTTTTTCTATGTCTTAAATGGCATATTGCATTCCCTTCCTTTTTTATTTCCTTTTTTTTTACAACTTCTCCACGAAGTTTGATATTGATAAACCCGAGAGTCGCTAACCTCGCCGACTCCCCCCCCCCCCCCCCCCCTCCCCTTTTCTGGGAATTTTTTTTTTTTTTTTTTTTTTTGGGGGGGGGGGGATTGCGGCCCCTTCGCCCCCCCCCCCCCCCCCCCCTGTGAAGCAACATATGGTAATCAAAAGCCTTAGTTGACGTTTTTGTTTGTTTGTTTTTTCGCTTTCTGCTACGCCTTTTTTGCAGCGCAGACACTGCCGCCAGCTTTGTTTGTGCGGAATTCGGGATCTCCGAGCGGTTTGCGGGGAGCATTGCGGGATGGCAGAAACGTTCCGCGAGAACTCCCTAATGGGGAATTTTAGTAGATCGTTCCGGTATACGATAACCGGTGACGATACGATCCCTGCACGGGTGTGTCGGAGTATCGGGTGTCGTTATTGGAGTTATCGGAACGGTCTACTAAAACTTCTTAATAATCAAAAGATGTTTACAGGGGGGAAGGGGAGGGAGGAGGGGCGGCACCCTGCGATATCTGCCGTCTTCGTTCGCTCCCTTCTTGTACGTCTAGTTATTCTGGTTTAACGCGGATATAAATAAAGCGCCGCTCCCACATATGCAACCGAGTAAGACCGAGAAAGACCAGACCGGTTTTTAAGCCTCTTGCGACCTCTTAGGACCGGATGCGCTGCTGCGGAGTTGGTCCTAAGGCGTCGCCAGAGGCTTAAAAACCGGTCTGGTCTCTCTGGGTCGTACTCGGTTGCAAGAGCGTGAACGGGCCTGAAAGCTTCAGATGCTATCCTGCAACGGGGAGGAACCGGACCAACGGTTGAGGAGCGCCTGTCCTAGGTGCTGTTTACCCGTTTAGATATTCCCCCCCCTCCCTGTAAAGGTCCGTTCACACTCTTGCAACCGAGTACGACCCAGAGAGACCAGACCGGTTTTTAAGCCTCTTGCGACCTCTTAGGACCGGATGCGCTGCTGCGGAGTTGGTCCTAAGGCGTCGCCAGAGGCTTAAAAACCGGTCTGGTCTCTCTGGGTCGTACTCGGTTGCAAGAGCGTGAACGGGCCTGAAAGCTTCAGATGCTATCCTGCAACGGGGAGGAACCGGACCAACGGTTGAGGAGCGCCTGTCCTAGGTGCTGTTTACCCGTTTAGATATTCCCCCCCTCCCTGTAAAGGTCCGTTCACACTCTTGCAACCGAGTACGACCCAGAGAGACCAGACCGGTTTTTAAGCCTCTTGCGACCTCTTAGGACCGGATGCGCTGCTGCGGAGTTGGTCCTAAGGCGTCGCCAGAGGCTTAAAAACCGGTCTGGTCTCTCTGGGTCGTACTCGGTTGCAAGAGCGTGAACGGGCCTGAAAGCTTCAGATGCTATCCTGCAACGGGGAGGAACCGGACCAACGGTTGAGGAGCGCCTGTCCTAGGTGCTGTTTACCCGTTTAGATATTCCCCCCCTCCCTGTAAAGGTCCGTTCACACTCTTGCAACCGAGTACGACCCAGAGAGACCAGACTGGTTTTTAAGCCACTTGCGACCTCTTAGGACCGGATGCGCTGCTGCGGAGTTGGTCCTAAGGCGTCGCCAGAGGCTTAAAAACCGGTCTGGTCTCTCTGGGTCGTACTCGGTTGCAAGAGCGTGAACGGGCCTGAAAGCTTCAGATGCTATCCTGCAACGGGGAGGAACCGGACCAACGGTTGAGGAGCGCCTGTCCTAGGTGCTGTTTACCCGTTTAGATATTCCCCCCCTCCCTGTAAAGGTCCGTTCACACTCTTGCAACCGAGTACGACCCAGAGAGACCAGACTGGTTTTTAAGCCACTTGCGACCTCTTAGGACCGGATGCGCTGCTGCGGAGTTGGTCCTAAGGCGTCGCCAGAGGCTTAAAAACCGGTCTGGTCTCTCTGGGTCGTACTCGGTTGCAAGAGCGTGAACGGGCCTGAAAGCTTCAGATGCTATCCTGCAACGGGGAGGAACCGGACCAACGGTTGAGGAGCGCCTGTCCTAGGTGCTGTTTACCCGTTTAGATATTCCCCCCCCTCCCTGTAAAGGTCCGTTCACACTCTTGCAACCGAGTACGACCCAGAGAGACCAGACTGGTTTTTAAGCCACTTGCGACCTCTTAGGACCGGATGCGCTGCTGCGGAGTTGGTCCTAAGGCGTCGCCAGAGGCTTAAAAACCGGTCTGGTCTCTCTGGGTCGTACTCGGTTGCAAGAGCGTGAACGGGCCTGAAAGCTTCAGATGCTATCCTGCAACGGGGAGGAACCGGACCAACGGTTGAGGAGCGCCTGTCCTAGGTGCTGTTTACCCGTTTAGATATTCCCCCCCTCCCTGTAAAGGTCCGTTCACACTCTTGCAACCGAGTACGACCCAGAAAGACCAGACCGGTTTTTAAGCCTCTTACGACCTCTTAGGACCGGATGCGCTGCAGCGGAGCTGGTCTTAAGACGTCGCCAGAGGCTTAAAAACCGGTCTGGTCTCTCTCGGTCGTACTCGGCTGCAAGAGTGTGAACTGACCTTTACAGTTCCCCGAGGAGAGTCACAGCAGCACTCACCCTCAAAAGGAGCTCAGAGAAACCCACGAAACCTGGAGTCACACGCGAAACCAGTGGAAGTTGCGCTCAACGCTAGGGCAACACACCCGAAAGGAACAATGAACAAATGACTACAGCATGTACTCTAAACTCAA